CTTTGTGGATCCGTGCAAACTTGTCAGGAATGTGCCTTCCACCGGAAGGCATCTCTTCTGCTCAGGGCATCACCTGAGCGCCAGTGAAAACAGTGGTGACCCGTAGATGTTGTGACAAAACCCCATTGTGTAACTAAACAAGTGACTTGTCCCCATGGATGGAAAGGTGCCAGCAATAATACTGCCAAGTTAAAAAACAAAACAAAACAATAATGTATATTCATTTAGTTAAAATTACTCTTAACAAGAGGCCCCTTTTCTCCTAACTCCATAATACGTTAGCTATAGTCCTGCAGGGTATAGGTGGAGAAGAAAGACACAGGATTCAACAGAGCATCTTATTACATACTTGTAGGTAAAATGCAAGTGTTGGGAAATAGGGAAAGGGCAAATTAAAGAAAGAACATTGGATGTTTGCCACACATTTTTCTCCTTTTCCCTCTTTATAGAAAATAAAGTATCCTATGAAAGTTTTCCCAAAGGCCACGAGCAAACACATGAAGCCTAACAATCTGCCCATTGTCGCTTGTGTTGAACCCTGTCTTTGAAATATGTGTTCTTTGTTCTTGCATTTTGAAGGACTGCATTTTAAGCTGCGGGTTTAGAGTAGTGACGGTTACGCTTGGCTGCCTGAATTGTCTTTTACAAAGTCAGAGTGCTATTAACTAAACTTTTAATGTTGCTCTCAGATCCCAGTCTGACAGGCCCTTATTCTGAACATCCACTCCGAGGTGATTTTCCCTTACTTACATCCAGTCATGTGATATCTTCTACGCTTTGGGCTGTGTACTGTCATTTACTCATTAACAGTCGCCACTGGGATCCCACTAAAGTGTAGCTTCATAAGGCAAGTGTGTAGATGTGATTCCTGGTTGGTTGCCTTTTCGTAAGGAACTCCTGTAGGTCTGTATGTGACGTTTCCTCAATGTGAAAGAGAAAAGAACAAGAGCATGGGACAGGAAGAGTGCCTGACGTTCCGTGCACACGATGGGTGCCATGGGGATGCTGGAGCCCTGGGACATGCCACAAGGGCCAGATGGAAGATAGCAGAGCTCTGGGTAGCATTCAATGAACATGGCCTATATGTATCTCTCCAGCCAGCCAGTGCCCCCTTTAACCCGCTCAATCATGAACCCATGTCACCCAGCAGCAGCTCTCTCTTGCTCTCTCCAGCTAGACTATGAGCATCTATGGCCTAGGATTTATTCTTACAGTTCTGTTCGTCCCCTATGTCCCTGGCATTATATTCACCACTTAACAAATGCTATGTAAAAACCTGGAAGGGAAAGAGTGTGGCATGCAGTGTAGACTGAATTACTAAAATAACTACTAATTCATTACTGTCCATCAAGCTGGTGCTTTGTTTGTTTTTGTTTTGAGGGGGGGGGGGGGTTGTTTCTTTTTGGTTTGGTTTGGTTTGGTTTGGTTTGGTTTGGTTTTTTTGTATTTTGCCAAACTAAATTTTCATGATTTTTGTTTGAGTGAAACAAATCTTTCTTGTGGTCTTTGAATTATATTATATGCCTCTTAGTAACTCCACAATGAGATAGGATAGGTGTAATAAGGGACGCTTGGCAGCTTGCTGACTACAACTCCCACATTAAAATGCAAGTCACTGTGTCGGGTCATCTCAGAGACTGAGGAGCCAGGTGCAGAAATCACCATGCACTTAGCCCGGGTACCTACTGAAATGATTGCAATAGCACCGTGGTGCCCTGGCATGAACAGTGCATCTGAAATCGCAGTATCAGCAAGGCCAGCCTCTGTCTGAAAACAGCTCTTGGCTTGCACAGGCATTTTTTGCTTGCATATCTGTTGTAGCCTCCCCAGTTGTGAAAAGGGCTATCGCTTGCTAGTCGGGAAAGCACGATGGTTTGTTCACTCCTTACCCTTTTTAAGTCCTTCTCCCATATTATCTTGCCCTTAGTCTAAGGGGATGTGCTCTGGCCCAGTCATCAGGAAGTGAAAAAAAATGAGAGAATCCAGCCTTTGCCCTCAGCATGCTCACCCCAGTGGGGATACTCAAAGACGTAGCCTTGGGCGGCGGCGTCTCAGACTGGAGTGCCTCCAAAGGACCCAGGACTGGAAGCTACCGCCATGGCTTCTGGTGACAGGGTGACAATCAATATGGCATTAAGCGACCAAGTTACATTCTCTAAATAGCATCACTTAAAAGGAAACTTAAGGAGCCTGGCTGCCGTAGAGAAAGCTTTGTAGGGGGCCAGTCATTCCTGCTTATCAAGCCGGGCACTTTGCAAGTGCTCCGTGTACTTAGAGTTCACCTGTGCTGAGTAAGTACTTGCCCCGAAAAGTACACAGCCAATAACAGCCCGTAGAGAACCAGGTCCCTGGCCTAGCCTCTCTAAAGCCCTGCTGCTAGCTGAAGCTCTGCTTCCAGCCGCTGCTCTACACTGACCCTGTCAACGTACAACCACCCCGAGGAAAGGAAACCACAAATTCAGCCAAGTGAAGAGTCACGGCGGGGCCTATCGTGCCCCACAGCTGGCGCTATCTGCCTCGGCCACGAGGTTCGTAAGCTGTTGACGCTGAGACAAGGAAGGCATTAGACTCTCCAGGAAACTGTGGAGAAAATGCTTTTCCTGCTTCTGGAAAAAACAAATGAACAACAAACAAGAGTGGCTGCTGATATTTGGGGTTCAATTTGGGGTTGGGCATGGTGGTTCAGGTCTGTAGTTCAAGCGCTGGGGATGCAGAAGTAGGAGGACTGAGAGTTCAGAGCCATTCTAGGTTATATAGTGAGACTCCGTCTCAAAAAAAAACCCTTTAAGTGAGAGCCGAGTGTGCAAATCATGGAAGGAAACTCTTGAGAAAGAATAATTAATAATACCAATTGCCACACTATTTTGGGTAGAGGAAGATAACCACTTGGCAACAAGGAGTGATCAGTGGTCTTAACGAGAGGAAGTTCAAGAAAGAGCAAGTAAGATATAGAAAATGACGGTATGGAGGGGATAGGGCATGTAAGGAACTGGGCATAAGCTACAAGATGCTTTCCAAAAGGCAGAGCAATGGATAGTGGGGATTTAGGACCTGAAGCACTGGTAGAAGGAACATGGTCTCTGCTGTTTTTTTTTTTTTTGGTTTTTCGAGACAGGGTTTCTCTGTGTAGCTTTGCGCCTTTCCTGGAACTCACTTGGTAGTCCAGGCTGGCCTCGAACTCACAGAGATCCGCCTGGCTCTGCCTCCCGAGTGCTGGGATTAAAGGCGTGCGCCACCACCGCCCGGCTGGTCTCTGCTGTTTTAAGATTAGAATACCACTGGGTTGAGACTCTTGATTCTCAAGCTGATGATGTCATAAGCACTATGGAAAGACAATACTGAGCCAAGGGAGTGCAGGTAAACAGACTGCCAGATGCCACCAATGCCTGGCAAGAGCTAGAGATCATGCCTTCATTATCATAGTAATTATATGGTTGAGCAGCTCTTGCCAGCAGTCTGCCTCCTGGGTGCAGAAGTAAAGAGGGCAAACAGTTGGCTTGATGAAGGTCACCTACGAGCTGAATAAATGTGTCGTGAGGACAAGGAGAGAAGTCACTGTAGACTGTGGATCTCTGTGGTTGGGTCTGAATGAAACATAAATAAAACATAAAAGTCCTGTATGGGGAGAGACTGAGAAAAAAAAAAAAAAAAAACAAGGGCCAGAAAGCCCAGTGAGAATCAGAAAGGATCCTGAAGGATGGGAGACTGCCGCTAAAGGTGCTTTGTTTAGAACCTGAGAATTACTTGGAACTTCAGAATTTAGAATGTGGACAATGGGTGTGGCCGGAAGAGTAGCGGATGAAATGGAGGCTAAAGGAACAAGTAAAACTTAGATCTTAGACGCAGAAGAACCCAACATGTCACCCTGCGCATCCTGATGATGTTACTTGGCCTCGGGAAGGCAAATGCAGATCCAAACCAGGGAACTCCGTGAGTGGCCATTAGTGAGTATGTTGTTCACAGGACCACAGAGTATGTTCACAGTACCACAGAGTATATTCACAGTACCACAGAGTATGTTCACAGTACCACAGAGTATGTTCACAGTACCACAGAGTATGTTCACAGTACCACAGAGTATGTTCACAGTACCACAGAGTATGTTCACAGTACCACAGAGTATGTTCACAGTAACACAGAGTATGTTCACAGTACCACAGAGTATGTTCACAGTACCACAGAGTATGTTCACAGTACCACAGAGTATGTTCACAGTACCACAGAGTATGTTCACAGTACCACAGAGTATGTTCACAGTACCACAGAGTATGTTCACAGTAACACAGATGAGAGGGGAAAATACATGCCGTGCATAGGGATGAGGGAGTTGGGCGGTGTATGGAAGCTATAATGAGGAGTTGTGAGAACACTAGACTGCTTCTGGGGGAGTCCTTCCTAATGCTGGCGGAGTCTGAGCTGGGACCAGTGAATGGTCCCTGGAAAACATGTGTTTTGTAAAGGAAGAAGGAACCCTTAGGTTATCATGAAGACAGGAGGTGGGGTAGAAGGAAATCTTATAATACTAAGAGAAAAAAGTATAAATCGAGAAGTAATATAAAATTAAAAAGTAATGTAAATTAAGAAGTAATGTAATACTCAGGTATGGTGGTGCACGTCTATGATCCCAGCACTTAGGAAGTAGAGGCAGGAGAATTGGAAGTTCGTGGCTATCTTCAGCTATATAGCAAATTTCCAACCAGATTAGGCTATCTGAGATCTTGTCTCAAGAACAACCAAAAGACAAAAACAAAAAAAAAAAATTAAGATGATATTAACTTAGCATAAGAAATATATTTGTTCTTACTGTTTTAATACAGAAATATAAATATATGCTGTTAAGATTTCTGTCCTATAAATTAATATTGGAGCACGAGAATATGTGTTTTGTTTAAGAATGATATAGGCTAATACCGCATACCTTAGCAGATTGCTATTACTTTGCAAGTTTTATTTAAGGTATCAATGTTAACATCTGTGTGTATATGGTTTTTCTTTTTCAGCAGATTCTTGATCAAGTACTTACTCCATGGATCCAGGCCAGGTTCGTCCCATGGCCTGCCCTGAGCAGCGTACAGTCTGAGAGAAGATTCCCTCGGCAAAACCATCTCTTGCCTTACGGAACAAGCAAAGAAGATGGACCTACTGAGGAGCCATCTGACTGTGTGCTTACCACCTTCTGTGCCCTTTTTAATCCTAGTCTCCACTCTAGCAACCGCCAAGAGTGTAACCAACAGCACTTTAAATGGCACGGACGTGGTCTTTGGCTCTGTGCCTGTCATCATTGCCAAAACTGACCATATCATCACCAAGGAGGGGAGCAGCGCCTTGATTAACTGCAGTGTCCGTGGCGGCCCTGACCTAGCGTTTAAGTGGTATAACTCTGTTGGCAAGCTGCTGGAAGAAGGGGAGGAGGACACGGAGAGAGGAGGAGGTAGGTTTCAAAGTTCTGCCTGTTGTCGTAGAGTATAAGCCGGGACCTAAGAGCCCATACCCTAGTGTTGGTTGTCCTCCTACAGGTCACTTAAAAGGTCCTTCCTGTCATCTTGTGCAAAGGCATAAGAGAGGCCGTATACTCTCAAGGGTTCACGTTGTAATTCATTCATCTTTCTGCTCTTTGACTCAGAAGACAAAGGGCAAACATGGATGTCTTTGGAAAGACCTCTTCGGATGATATGCTATAATGCACTCAAGACATTATAGAGTGTAAGAGTATATTCCCTGAGTCTATGTTCCATTTCTAAGACTTGTGTTTCCTTGCCTGGGATTGGTTCCCATAAGCAGCAGAACAGTTGTTTATCATTAAATGTCAGTTTGACTTGTCGACTGTGGATTTAACAAGCAACCTCTTGAAGTGTCTGTGCAAACTCTCAGCTACCTGCTGAGTCCATTCCACGCTCCCGGAGACCTGGTTGAGGTCAGCGTTGGGAAGGGGCCTGGAAACCTGGGGCTGCAGATGAGACGCTTGGCATTTAGTGAAGGAGTTTTTGACTAAAAGATGTGAATCCTCTTCCCAAGCTCTGAGCTTCCTTCACCAGAAACTGCATCCAGAGACAGGCTTGGAGGCACCTGGAATCTCCTCTTCTTGTTTAAGACGTGTGAGGTGATTGTGTGAAAACCCAGACAGGCTCTGATTGATGAGAAGGAGTTAATCTGCTTGGTTCGGCTCCTGACTGGGATGAAGTAGGGCATTGGAGGTGGGAGGATACGAAGAGGGTTGCTCAGCAGCAGCCCTCTTCCCCTCCCTCCTTTCCGTTACCCTCCCCACTCCTTAACCCTCGAACCAATGAACAATCCCCAAATGAGTTTCTGCTTCAGAAAAAAAAAATAACCTCTGTATTTAATCTCTTCCCCTCATATTATCTTAATTGCTCTGCAAACGGAGAAAGCCAAATGCTTTGCCTCTCTTAGGAGGTTCTTACAGTTGCACGCTTCTGTTTCACAGTTATGTCCCCAGTGGGGAAGGCTGCTAGAAGTCTAACTACCAGGGATGTGCCTCCTGGCTGTTATGCTACTGCTGACATTGTTTGGCTTAGCCGATCACGACTACACCGTACAGGATAGCTACTTCCCTTTGATCAAAATATTACATATAATAAACTATATGGATGTTTAACCTAGGCAAAGGATAGCCATTCCCCACCAGCTCACATTGTGCTGTCCTAGGAATTCTAAGGTAGAGGGGGCTTTACCCACATAGCCGTCTGAACTCCCTTCCCTGGAATCTGCCTGAGGTCCTGCTGTCAATGAAATGGCTGTGACTAGAACCTTCACCCCTGACAGGGGAGAGATGAGAAACACTACCCCTTCTTCCACAACCGTAAGGCAGAAGGATAACACCACACCAGTGACGGGAGGGCAGAAGCATGGTAACACACGTGCAGACCTCAGCAGGTCTCTCTGCAGGGCTAGGCGACTCCTAGGGACATCAGGCTGACAGAATTGAGAGGACTCACCAACTCCAGACCTCAATCCACCTTCCACAGGGACCCTGGAGCACAGGTTGCTCCTGGGTATTTAAAGAGGGGTCTGTGCACTAAACTGCTGAGTCCTAGAGAGGAAGAAAACGATGGTAATAATGTAATGCCGGAGCCTCCATTTCAGTCACATCATTTTGAATGTTGTTCCAAAGTTGTACCCCACTGCTTCAGAGAAATACGCAATGCCTTCCTTGCAAAGGTCTCTGGGACCGTGGTGTCAGTCTCAGCAAGCAGACACGCTGGCTGGCCTTCTTCATCAGTATGGAAAGGTGGTTGAGCTATACTTGATGGTGGTTATATTTGCTTTAATTTTATTTTTGCTTGTGGAAGCTCAAATGGCCCATTAGAATACCATATCTTTAGACTCGACTCTATCAGCAGCTTGAGAATTACAGCATCAGAATGCAGCGCTCACATCTTCCCTGAAGACTTGCTGATAAATCAGTTAACTGTTTCAAATCTCATCAAAGAAGATGTCTTTTCAACTTTTAAAAGAACTCATGATACCAGTACTTGATGTCCCAGCTCAGCTCTTGTAATTACAATGCGTAATAATAGTCATTTCAGCGCATAAGCCACATGGGGAAATGGAGCAAGCGTTACACCTAACAAGCAGGCAGAACATGGAAGCATCAGAAAGGACAGAATGCCTCAGGAAATATTAGCACTGCTGTGTGCTGTGTCCTGGGGTGGCCTGGGAGAGCGCACAGTCTTTAATTTCTCATTGCTGATGAAGTAAATGCCCATTTTATAACACAGATGTAGACTTGTGTTTTCTAGCCAGGACACTAGAAGTGTAAACCGAGCAGTGTTTCATTTGCAACTGAGCCAAAGGGTGAGTGAATACAGGGTGAAAATCGTGCTAATATCCCATTGCTAGGACTGCACATAGATACATGGGGGCGGTTTAGGCCAAATGAATGGAATTCAGAAAATCTTCATTAACAGCTATTGCACATAAGCCTGGGCACCAAGTTATAGGTATAACTTCTAATCCTTCTGGTAAGCATGTAAGTGAGGTGCTGTCAATCTTCATGGATGCAGATGGGAAGTCAGAAGGCTGGAGAAGACATTACACAAATGTTATAGTGCAAAGCCAGTTGGTGTTGCTTTCTCTGTGTCAGACCAGAGTCCGCTTAGTCTCGAGGTCTCAACCGTTGAGAAATACTGTGGAGCATCTGGCACAGCTAGAGTGAATGTGGGAAGAATTCCTGCGTGGAAGAGACCTTTTAACTACCGTCATCGTAGTTAGAGTCAGGATCTTTGTGCCGTAGGCTGCAAGTGTCATGCACACAAAAATGTGTTCCAAGTCATAGTCAGTTGGCTCACAGGAGCTGATTACCACTGACTTTGTGATTAGCCCAGAAAGAAACAATTTCCTCTCTTGTTTAGGCTGAAAAAGTGAGCTACCTGTCATGCATGGTGGCCCCCTGTGCTAGAGTGAATTTCCCGTCCTGGTATTGCAGCAGCTGGTTTATTCGGCTTTCCCGGTTCTTCTCACCTCATTTCCAGAGGATCAGGAAGTCATCATGTGTAATCCATACGGTTTTGAAGTTCACTAAAAGAGTGTTTCGGAGGGTGGATAGTGGATGGTCCACCAACCGTGTACAAGAATTCACTCTGAATTCAAACATGCATGAGCTCAAATAGCCGGAAATGCACGGTTTCCAGTTTCCCTTTGCTGGAGATGAGTAGAAATGTCTGCTCATCTGGGAAGTGTTATGAAAAGTCCCCAGTTATTGCAGATGCACTAATTATCTAATTATTGCCCTGTGCTTTCTTATTGCAATGTTAAAACATTTCAATTCACTTTAGCACCTCCATCAGAGAAGTAATAAGCATTTCAAGGAAGTTGACCTGTACAAGACCCAGGAAATAGAGATGACAAATTTTCCCTTTAAATCCCCTTCTTTAAAATCTACTTTTTGGGTGGATGTGTTTTGCATACTACCCTGTCAACAAAAACAATTAAGAATTTTCTTGCCTAAAGCACTCAGGAGAAAACTGACCAGAGCTGCCTTTACACTGTTCCGCTGTTTCACAGATTCTTCTGGTAGACTGGAAATGCCAGTTCTGCAAAGTGAAGTCAGCCAGGTTTCGAAAGTGCCATTTCTCTCCTCTCTGCTTTATCAAACACACATGCACACGCACATATGCATACACGCATGTGCACACAAACACATAGGTATGCACACACATGCATGCACAAATGTACACATGTGCATGCACACCTATACTACATATAATGTGCAGTATATGTAACATATAGGGGACCAGTTCTTACAACATCAAATACAAATAGTCCTTTACCATCAGTGGAAAGTAGGAACTCAATCTATACAAACCTCCACAAATTCTCCATTTAGCACATTAAATGCCTGAGAATTTATGAACACTCCCAAAGGCATTAAACCACGTTTATGCAATTGCAGTGGTGAGCACTTCTAAGCCCCAGTTTTCTCTTCTGTAAACCAGAGAGGATTGTTCCTTTACTACCAAGCCAGACTTGCAAGTCTTGAGTAAATAAATACTTGTCTGTTAAATGCTTGGCATGGTACCTAGAACTTACGAAGCTCACAGTAAATGACAGCTGCTATTTTTGTTACTATTCTGTTCTGTCCTCACAATAATATATTTCAAGTGCTAAAATCTCCATTTCCTAATATAGAGTCTTTTGTAACACAAAGAATGTTCGGATAATTTCTCCTTTTTTTTGTCTTGGTTTTCAACCTCACAAAAATTGCTTTTGGATGGCTGGAGAAATGGCTCAGCAGCTAAGTGCATTGGCTGCTCTGACAAGAGACTAGATTTGATTCTGAGCACCCATATGGTGGCTCACAACCATCCGTAGCTCCATTTCCAGAGGATCCAATGCCCTCTGCTGGCGTCTGCATGCATCAGGCATTCACAAGGTACACATATATGCATGCAGGCAAAACACTCATATACATAAGCCAAAATAAATTGAACTTCTTTAAAATTTATCTTTGGCTGGCAAGACAAGACAAGTAGATGAAAAGCACTTACCTTGCAAGCCTGACAACTTGAGTTTGAGCCTCGGGAACCTACAGTGGAAGGTGAGACCCAACTCAAGGATGTCCCCTCTGACCTCCACGCATGTATTGTGACACGCACACTAATAATAGCCGTATTTTTTCAGTAAGTGCAAAAGATAAACATTCCCTTAAATGCTATTTGAAATTCCAAATTATTTCAACATAACCTTTTGACAGTTTAGTGGCCATTCACTTTTGCATACAAAGTACCCATGATGACTGATACCTTCCTTCTCCTACAGGCAAACTATATGGAAATGACAAAGTACATTCTGTGCAAGGTAAACTTTCCACTTTGATTGTACGTGTATGGGCTTTCAGCTCCTACTACCCCCAAGAGTCTATGTGGCCAATTCTGAGACAAGTTTGCTTCTTGTAAAGGGGATCTACAGGGGAGC